CTGTGGAATAATTAAAAACTCATGGTTAACATTTGATTTTGCAATTGACATGTAAGAGCAGGAAAAAAGAAGCTCTGAATAGGGGTCCCCTAGTCCCCCAATTATGTCTGTAGATCTAGAGAATAGCATTCTAGAGAAAAAGTTAAAACAGAAGCCAGATGAATTGAAATTGCTTGCCCAAGACTTCAAGGGTCACCCAGGATGACCTCGAAGGAGAAAGAGATATGCATGGATAGGGCATTGCAGGTTGCCTTGGGCCCTTTCAGGGCTTCATCTGAGTGGTAAATGAGGGTTTTTTTCTTGCCTTGCTCTTCTCTGGGAGCGGGGACAGTCAATCCTTCAGTGCCACATGTCAGACACATGGGCTGCTTGACACTTGGAGCCAGGGCCATTTTTTGGCTTGGTACAGTGGTATGTCCAGTGTCCAGTTTTTTTGCAGGTCTTTATTGGCCCTGGGTTTTCCCTTAGATAACTTGGGTGTGCTTAAAACTTTGCTAGTTGCAACAACCATAATTTTGGTCTGTCTTATTTCTTAGTCCTTTTCCTTTTATCCTAATCTAGATCTAGTTGTTGAACATAGACAAGACTATGTCCAGAAGTTGGGTCATGGGGTTCTGGGGACCCATCTGTAAACCTACTAGAATCTTTTAAAAATACTCCATATCTCTGGGTGTCAGCATCTAATGGAAATAGGTGGGAGAACCCCAGAGATAGGTGAATGTCTAAGGACAAGATATTTATTTCCTTTTCCTTAGAGCCCTCTTTAAGTACCATGGTTTTTGGAACTGAGATAAAGTGCTATAAAAACCCAAACATAAAGAGATTTCACACAACCTTCCTTGCTTTTTGCAGAAGTGATCCAACTAAAAAATAGTATCATAATTTAGCCTGCCATTTTGTACCCATCTCTTGCCATTTCCTAGTTTATAAAGACAAGGGTGTAGCCTCCCAGGCTCCAACTACCTACTTAATGATGCACTGCCTAGGATCAGCAGGGTAGTACCCTAGATCTTAACCATATCTGATTTAGATGTAAATGAGAAGAAACTTCAGATGTTTAAATTGATGCTGTAAAGAGTTAAGTCTTTTTAAGCATGTATTTTAAATGCAAGAAAGATATGAACTTTGAGGGCCCAAGAGGGATATTATAGGTGGAATTTTTATGTTCCTCCAAAACACATACTTTAAATCTCAAATCCTCAGTGCAATAATATTTGCAGATGGAACTTCTAAGGAAATAATTATGATCTCATTTGAGGCATAAGGATGGGGCCTGACCTGATAGGTTTAGTATCCTTATAATAAAAGACACTAAAGGGCTTACTTACTACAATGTAAGATTATAGGAGAGATGGCTGCTTCGTGTCAGCCAAGAGGCCTCAGAATTAAACCTACTTTGCTATTACTTTGGTCTTAGACTTTCTAGCCTCTAGAAATATGGTAGATACATTTATTTTGTTTCAAATCAGCAGATTATGGTATTTTGTTTTGACAAAATAAAAAGATAAAAGTTCAGCAAACACTAAAATGTGATACTGCTGTTAGTGATACTCAAATCTATCATAAGTCATATTATAGAAGAAACAGCTGATGGTGAGAATGTTGATATTGTCATTCAAAAAATTACAGATATTAAGTTAGGAATTTAGTAAAGGTGAAATTATCAACATAATTGAGGAAATCAATTGTGAGGAAAATATTAAGACGTCTTGAAAAATAAAGTAATGCTTCATAGGGGGCATGGTTGATAGCTCAGTGGTAGAATGTACATGAAACATGGATGAGGGTGTTCATCTTCAACACCAAAACCCCAACCAAAAAAAAAAGAAAAGAAAGAAAGAAAGTTTGGTGTAGTGGCACATAGCTGTACATACCTGTAATCTCAGCACTCTGGAGGGTGAGGTAAGAGGATTGCTGTGAGTTTGAGGCCAGCCTGGGTTACATACTGAATTAAGGCCAGCTTGAACTATTAACACCCTGTCTCAAAAAACCAAAACACACACATATGGAAAAACCCAATAGTAGTACTACTCCATTTTACAAAAAAAAAAACACATCTTTATCCACTCACAAGTTGACCAGCATTTGGGTTGTTTCCAGGATTTAGCTATTATAAACTGTGCCCACTATAAACATGGCTATGCATATATCACTGTGGTATGATTCTTTTAATTCTTTTGGGAAGGTACCCAGTAGGGGAATAGCTGGGTCAAATGGAACCTCTAATCCTAGTTTTTTGAACAATCTTCACACTGATTTCCACAGTGGTTGCACCAGACTACAGTCCCACCAATAGTGGAGAAGCGTTCCTTTTTCCCCACAACCCCATCAGCATTTGTTATTGGTTGATTTCTTGATAGCAGCTGTTCTTTCTGGGGTGAGGTAGAATCTCAGCATTGCTTTCATTTGCATCTCTCAAATGACCAGTGAATTTTTTTTTTTTTTTGGTACTAGGGATTGAACTCGGAAACTTGTGCTTGTGAAGCAGGCAGCAGAACCACTGAACTAAATCCCTGGTCCCATATGACCAATGATGTTGAATTTTTTTTTATATGTTTATTTGCTGTTTCTACTTCTTCATCTGAGAAGTGTCTGTTCATTTGAGATGCCCATTTTTGGATCGGGTCTTTAAATTTAGGAGTTCTGATTTATAAAAGATTTTTCTTTATATATTCTAGATAGTAGACTTTTCTCTGAGAACAGCTAGTAAAAAGTTTTTCCCACATTGTAGGTTGTCTCTTAACTCTGTTGGTTTCTCTTGCTGTGCAGAAGCTTTTTAATAAAATGAGATCCCAGTTGTTGATTCTTTGTGCTAGTTCCCTTGTGACTAAGGTTTTGTTCACAAAGTCTTTTCCTACACCAATGTCTTCAAGAGTTCTACCTAACCTCTTCTAGCATGTGCAGAAGCTTTTTAATAAAATGAGATCCCAGTTGTTGATTCTTTGTGCTAGTTCCCTTGTGACTAAGGTTTTGTTCACAAAGTCTTTTCCTACACCAATGTCTTCAAGAGTTCTACCTAACCTATCTTCTAGCAGGTTTAGTATTTCTGCTTTAATATTAGATCTTTAATCCATTTTGATTTTAGTTTAGTGCATGTTGTTAGATAATGGTCTAGTTTTAATCTTTGCCAAGTTGAAACCCAGTTCTTCTAGCACCATTTATTAAAAAGGCTATCTTTAAGGGAGGAGGGGGTGAAGGGAGGGCAGGGATAAAGGGAAAACATGAGAATCAAGACCTGTCATGTAAAGGTACAAGATCCCAATGATGAATATAACTGTACTGTATACCTAAAATGTACCAATAAACTCAATGAGAAAAAAATAAATATAAACTTTTTAAAAATAAAAAATAAAATAAAAATCCAACGATTAAAAAAAAAAGCCTAACTTTTCTCCAGTGAGAATGTTTGGCTCCTTTGTCAAAAATGAAGTGGCTGAGTATGTCTGGAGTCTTTTCTATATCTTCTGATCTGTTCCATTGATCAATGGATCTGTTTCTTTGCCAGTTACCACACCATTTTTATTGCAGTAGCTTTGTAGTACAGTTTCAAGTTGGGAATTGTGATACCTCTGCCTTGTTTTTGTTGCACAGAATTGCTTTTGCTATTCTAAGTCTCTTCTGGTTCCAAATGAATTTTTAGATTTTTTTCTCTAGTTCTGTGAAATATGCTGTTGGAATTTCAATCAGGATTGCATTAAAAAAAAGGAATGCTTTTATAGGTTTGGTGGGAATATACATTAGAATGGCCATTTGGCTGTGCTGGAAGCTCCTCAAAAAACTAAAAATCAAATCACCATATTATCAGCAAATCCCACTTCTGGGTATTTACTCAAAATATTTGAAATTAGTACATCTAAGAGATTTTTGCATTTCTACATTTATTTGCAATAGCCAAGTTATAGAATCAACTTGTGAACAACAATAAATTAATGGATAAAGTATTCCTTTTACTACTGTCTTAATCTGTTTGGGCTGCAATAAGAAAATAAACAGGGTGGCTTGTAAACAAGCATTTGTTCCTTACAATTCTACAGTCTGGAAAGTGTAAGATCAAAGATACACAGGCAAATTTGCTGTTTCCTGCTTCATCATTGGTCTCTTTCATGTGATTATATGGTAAAAGGCAAAATAAGCTCCCCCCTTGGGCCTGTTCTATAAGGCACTAATTCCTTTGATGTGGGCTCTGTCCTCACTTCAACTACTAAAAGGCCCTACTTCTTGATGCCATCCCCTTGAGGAGGGCTAAAATGTCAACATGCGAATATGAGGTGTACAAACATTCAGACCATAGCAATTACTCTTTATCATCATCATTGTTTGGATTTTTCAGCAGTTCTTACATGGTCAAATTTCTTCAATATTTTGCAATAGTAGTATGTTCTCCTTTCCTTCCTCTCACACTCCATTCCTTCCTTCTTTCCTTCCTTTTTTATTTTTGTTTTGAATAGATTTTTGAGTTTTATTGAAATCTTATATGAACAAGAAATTGTAAATACAATCACATCAAAGAACAAATTGTCAGGCTTTGACGTTTAAGCCAAACAAATTTGTAGGGCAGATTTCAAAAAGGTGTGAAGTTATAACAATTTTAAAACGCAGTTAACCTACTTCTAGGAATGCAAAACATAAAATCATAGGTTATTTTCAATACAAGAAAACTTAAATTTGTTTGCTTTAATTTCTTAAAACTACTAAGTCAAAGACTAGCTTGTATTTTTATTTACAGCATATTTCATACTCCTATGTAGTCTATTCCAAATCCAAAAAAATGAAGCTGTCCAAACCAAAGGTTCTGCAAAATCATAATTTAACAACTTGTTCTGAAGCTAAAATGAAGCCTGAAACTATAAAAGCATTGTATCCCCCAGAATAAGGGAACTCTGCAAGCCCAATAATGTCCAAGAGCATTTATGAAAAGAAAAATATAAAGACTTGAGCATATACATAATAGTGATTTCTTTAGCCCAATACAAATGAAACAGTTAAGCCAATTTTTTTTTAAGAATGTAGATCTAGAGCCAATCATATCTTGACAGTATCATTTTCAAGCTCTCACTTGTCTGTTTCCACTGTTGCCCATAAGTATCCTGATAAAATTCCTGGTTGTCATTATTGTAACCATAGTTACCAGAATAGTCACCACCTTGCTGAAGCGGCTGCTGAGTGATGGGTTGGGAACCCCAGTTCTGTTGGTTGTTGGTCTGACAACGCTTGGAATCAGGCTGGTTGTACCCATGTGGCTTTCTCTTGCCTCCTACATTGCCCCCACGATTGCCCCAAGCTCCACAGGAACCACGGTCTCTTTGCCATTGTGCAGGACCCCCTCCGCCACCCCTAGAGCCTCTTGGCGGTCCCAAAGGTACCCCCCTCTGTGAATAGCCAGCTCACAGGTGGTGGAGCACCTCGCCCTCCCCTTCCTCCTCCTCTTCCTCTTGCTGCATAGCCATCATCATAGCCGTAGTAGTGATCTTCATAGCCTCCACTATAGTCATGATAATCATAACCATAGTAATCATCATACTAATCTTCATAACCATAGTAATCTGGAGGGTAGCCATATCCACCTCTACCTCCACCACGACCTCGACCTCTGATTGGAGGAGGCAAGTGAGGAGGAGGGTGATAGTAATAATCTTCATACACAGTACTTCTGGAGGCCTGTCTAGCAGCTTGGCGCTCTTTCCTTTTCTTGTCTGGTGGCTTAGCTAAAACTATTTCAATTTCTTCCCTTTCTGTTTCTTTTCCATTCATTTCATCCATAGCCTTAACAGCAGCTTCTCTGTCTTCAAAATGAACAAATGCATAATCTTTCAACTTCTTTACTCTTTCAAGTTTTCCAAATTCAGAAAATGACTTTTCCAATATTTCTTCTGTAATGGTAGTAACCAAGTTTCTTACAAATAAAACTTTCTCCTTAGCCATGACTTCTGGATCAGGTTCTTCCACAGGGTCAGTCCATTCAACTGTAACTACATTTCCCCATACTTTTACTTTTCCACTCATCAGCCAACATCTGGCTTGTGCTTCTGACTTGTGATCCTCATATTCAAGGAAGCAGAACCCCCGATTCTTCTTTTTGTCATCGGGTTGATGATAGAGAATAATGTCCACCAAACCCTCTGTGACTTTACTGAATTCTTCAAGAATGTATTCTTTAGTCTTATTCTTCAGGATGGATCCAACAAAAAGTCTGTTGTTTGCCACAGAAATACACACTCCAAAGTGTTTACCAGGGCAAATTTCATAGTTGTCACACAGTTTAACAGCTTCCTGTGCAGCTTCCTTTCCACAGAAGGTGATAAATGCATACCCTCGGTTCTGACCAGACAGTGGATCCATCATAAAACGTAGATCCCAAATGGGACCGGCCTTGTCAAAGAGGGGCACCAACTCATCCTCATAAAGATCTCTTGGTATTTTACCTACAAAGACCTCTGTTCCAATTCCAGCCTGCATACCTGAGCACCCACTGTCTGGTGGAGGCCCACCATACTTCCTTTGTCCTGTTGTTACATCTAGAGTATAAGCAGTCCTCTCGAGCAAGGCCTTGATCTTTGCTTCATCAGGTCCCTTTGTGGACTCTTGCACTTTGCTGCCCTGTTTCTCTCTGCCTGTAGGTCTTCATAACTCCACATAAAAATGCACTTTTATTCTGAACATGTGGTAAGTCACTTTCCTTGAACTGCTGCAGTGCAGACAGAGCTCCTTCTTCATTAAATTCCCTGAGAGCATCAATTGCTCTTTCATCAAGATCAGCATAATCTACCAATCCAGGGCAGAGCTGGGGCCGGTGGCTGGGCCAGTGAGAATCAGCGTGAGGCGCTTTGAAAACGACTAGAAATGGCGTGCGCGTGCCACCCCCCCAGCTCTTTCCTTCCTTTTGACAATGTTGGAAGTCAAATTTGTGCATGCTAGGCAAGTATTTTGCCACTGAGCAATACCCCCACGTTATCACGGAAGCCAGAGAGATCTTTTACAAAGGTAAGTCAGATAATGTCATTACTTTCTTAAAAATCACTCAGTTGTTTCCTACTTAAAAAAAAAGAGAAAATTTTTAAATCTCTATAATGACTTAAAAGCCCTACACAATCTGTGGCATTCTCATTTCTTTTCTTCTTGATTATTTTATCCTATTTACTGTATCCTAAAGAAACTAAGTATGCTCTTGCTCTAAGAACTTTGCATGTCTTTTTTCTTCTTCTGAGAAAGCTATCCCCCATGTGTTTATATTTACTTTAAGTCTCACTCCAATGTAATCTTATAGGTAGGGCCTTTATTCACTACCTATAAAACATTGACTCAACTTTTTATTATTTATTTATTTATTTAGGTACTGGGGATTGAACTCAGGACCTTGCACTTGTGAAGCAGGTGGTGGCACCACTGAGCTAAATCCCCAGCCCAGACTCAACTTTTTATATCATACATAAAAGGAGTATGCAAACTACAGCCACTGGGCTAAGCCTGACTTCTTATCTATTCTTGCAAATGAAGTTTTCTTGGAATACAGCTATGCCCTCTTTTTTAATATATTGTATATTAATACTTTCTCACCATAATGACAGCTTTGAGTATTTACAACGAATATACATGGCCCATAAGTCACAAAATATTTATTCTTTGACTCTTAACAGAAAAAGTTAGCTGACTTTGATATATATATAATCCCTTTCTTCGCTTTGGAAAGTAAGCCCTATTAGGACAGTTTTTTTTTTTTCCACTATTCCCTAGTACCTAGAATTGTGCTTGAAACATAGTAGATGCTCAATAAGTATTTCTTATTGAAATACTTCTTTAAAAAAGTCTGAAGGAAATAAAGGACATAGATATAGTGTAGTAATGTATTAAAAGATTTTAGGCTGAGCATAGTGGTACATGTTTGTAATCATAGCACTCTGGGAGGCTGAGGCAGGAGTAATTGGTAGTCTGAGCCCACCTGAGACAACCTAATTTAGTGAGACCTTGTCTCAAAATAAAGAATAAATCCCCAGTACCACACAAAAAATGATTTTAACTTTTACAGACAAAAATCCAGATATGTTACCAATTTTTTAATTATATGTCATTATTCAGTTAAGGTTGTTTTGCTTTTTTGAGACAGGGTTTCTTTTCTGTATGTAGTTCAGGATGGCCTTGAACTCACTAGGTAGCACAGGGTGGGCTGCAACTCTTCGCAATCCTCCTGCCTCAGTCTATCAAGTGCTGGGATTACAGGTGTGCATCATCACCCTGGCTCAATTAAGCATTTTTTTAATTAAAAAAGAGAGATTTCTGCCGGGAATTTAGCTCAGCGGTTCCACTACCTGCCTTGCAAGTGCAGTGTCCCAAGTTTGATCCCTGGTACAAAAAGAGAGAGAGAGAGAGAGAGAGAGAGATAGGGAGGATACAGCATTTTCCTCATATGATACCTTAAGGTACAAGTTATAACAATCTTAAAACAAAAAGGTAAGAACAGCAGAAACAGAATGGGGGAAGGGAAAAGCGACACAAAATTATACAATATTCAACGGTAGAAAAAACCAAATAGAAGGTTGAGAGTGTATCACAGTGGTAAGGAAGAAGGAGAAGGATGGAGGGAGAGAGAGAGAGGAGGAGGAAGAACAAGAAACCTAAATAGAATCTCACAAATTTCAAAAGATGATAGCCAAGAAAATTTGGTGAAGCACAATAAGGCATTAGATTGTATGTTATCTATTCTTCAAAAGTTGCTATCTTGTGAGTCATCATTAATAAATCTAAAACAGAGGAACAAAAGTATGGAGTTTCTTTTTCTTACTATGTGAAAGTAAAAACAGCTGTTGGGAATAGCTAGCTAAAAATTGAGAAATGAAGGATTAGGGCTAATCTCTTGGCAGAATCAAGGTAATGATCTAAATTCCAAGGGTCATCTGCCCATGGAAATAAGATATATTTCTTCCTTGGAGTAGGTACATGAACCTCCCAGAAAATCTCAAAGACCAGAGCCTGGGATTTAGCTCAGTGGTGCTGCCACCTGCCTTGCAAGTACAAGGTCCCAAGTTCAATCCCCAGTACCAAAAAAAAAAAAAAAAAAAAAAAAAAAATCTCAAAGAACAGAATCCAGCTGATTGAAGAAATCAGCTTGTATATCCTTGTTGTTGATTTACTTATCGAAAATAATCTTTCTCTTTTTGGTTTCGTCTCTTTATTGAGTATATTGAGGGAGAGAGACATTATATAAAAAACTTGAATTCATTCAGACCAGGAACCATTGAATCCCGTCTTTATCTATTTATGTGTCTGACTGTCTACCTACCTACCTACCTGTGGTACAGGGGATGCACTGAGTTTACCCCCACCCCCACCCTACAGGTGCTCACTGAGTTACCCAACTTGGGCTAAAATGTGCCATCCTCCTGCCTCAGCCTCCCAGACTTCTGGGATTACAGGTATATGCCGCCACACTCAACTCTTTGACTTCCTTTTTAAATGAAACCTAGTGACTTTCTGTAAACTGTTTTAATAGCTTCTCAGAATAAACACAAAATAATGTTTGCTAGCATTTTTTCCTCCAAAGGTAAAGGCACTGGAGCTAAGCAAGTATCAATCAGTGTGTTGCTCTTCTCAGAGTTAATTGATGAGTGTTATCATTATGTATGTGTAAAATGTACCCATAAATGTTTTGCTATTAAAATAGATATAAAACATATGGTTGCCATGTTTATTAAATTAGTAGTAAAATAAATATGTCTGGTGTGAAGGCAGAATTAGCAAGATTTTTTTTTAACACTGATACTTTTGGAAAGTATAATATCAATGATATATAGTATGAAAGCAGATTCACTCAATGTGTGGATGGTAAAAGGTATTTAGCTCTATATTTGGATGCAAACCTATTTGAAAAGTATAAATGAAACTTTGACATACGTGCATTTTATATGAGAGGGAGAAGTGCTTGTTAAGTTTTTGTTGTGGGTGTTTTTAATTTTATTTTTTGGTGGTACTGCAGATTGAACCCAAGGCCTTCCATGTGCTAAGTGTATGCTATACATGCAGCCCCTTGTTCATTGTTTTGTTTTTGTTTTTAGTACTTGGTATTGAACTCAGGTCCTTGTGCTTGCAAGGCAGGCAGTGGAACCACTGAGCTAAATCCCCGGCCTCCCTTGTTCATTTTTTAAAAGTCTTTTGAGACAAGGTCTTGCTGTGCAGTTCAAGCTGGCCTTGACCTCACAGTGATCCTCCTGCCTCAGCCTCCTCAGTGCTGGGATTACAGGCCTGCCATGCAGCAAAGGAGAAGAGATTTTTAAAAATTGGTTTGTGATTCTTTTTTAACTCTGGAAGTTTCCTGAAAATGTTTTTGCTGGATTAGTATCAACAGATTTACAACTGTAGCACATTAGTTGATGTTATTGCACTTGAATATTAATTCTCACACTACTATTTCCAAAGCATAACTGTGAAGAGTATGAACTCTGATCTGATTCACTTGTTAAAGTAATGACAATTGTACTCATGATTGAATGTTGATTCTTGAGTGTGTGTATATTCTTTAGAGTGCTGTGAAAATAAATGGGCATTAAATATAAAATTCTGGTACCCAACTCAAAACACTCTGGCTCTCAAGAGGGAGAGTACTTGTGAAGTTTAGAAATCACATATGAGGGCCGGGGGTTTAGCTCAGTGGTTCCAGTGCCTGCCTCACAAGTGCAAGGGCCTGAGTTTGAACCCTGGTACAAAAAAAAATCACATATGAGACAAAACTATGTAACTCAGAAACAGATCATTTGTGTAATTTGAGGGAGCTTTGCTTAAATGGCTGTGTGAATTCCTTCAAGAGCTTGAAATTCTCTTCAGGTCTAAATTACTACAAATTTTAATGCAGAAGGGCAAACTATCAGACAAAGAAAGTTTTATAACTATAGGCTGGACTCTTTTTTTTTTGTTTGTTTGTTTGGTTTGGTTTTTGGAACCAGGGATCGAACTCCTCCAGTCCTTGCACTTGTGAGGCAGGCGGCGGAACCACTGAGCTAAATCCCCAGCCCTAGGCTGGGCTCTTTAACAAATGAGAATATGCAGTATTGTCCTTCCCCCATTTCCAACCCAAAAAAGTAATCATTTCTTCTGATGTGCATTTACATACTTTGGCTATCTCTATTACAGTAAGTCAGATATGTTTGTAGATGCTTCAGGACTGTGCACTACTGAAAGGCTAATGATTATATTCTTTTATCATAGAGGTGTGCTGATAAATCTTTAAAAATAGTATTTCTGACAGTAAAAATATATGCTTACATATACAAATATAAGCTTATAAATTTTCCTGATACAACATATCTATAGCACACAATTTACAAATAAACTATGAAAATCCTTACTGTAAAATCCATATAACTAATTTATTTTCAAGACATCTTTAGTTGACTTTTATCAAACTCTATTATACTATGTGTAGCTAATCTGTGCTTGCAGTGTATAAGTGAATGTAGTTCTGACATGTTGTTTAAATGAGCAAGATGAAAATGAAACAACAAATTGTAAATTGGAATTCCATATTTTTATGAATGATGTGAATGACTTCTTGATAAGTTGTTAAAAGTAATCAAATACTGGAAGATTATTTCCATAGTTTTGAATGTTCTTTACAGTGTAATACTGTTTAATTTACATTATTTACATTTTTCCCATCCCTTGTGTCGTCTATCAAAAATTATTAAATTATAGGGTGAGATGTAGTGTAAACATTTCCATGGTGTAAATATTCCCAGCATGGCTAATTTCAAGCTACCAGTACAGCATCACTGAACACAGAGTTGGGAAGAAGTGTACAACATCACTATATAGTTTTGTTTTAATTTTTTTGGACATACTGCAGTGTATATAAATAACCTTAAGTGTACAGATAGTACGGGAGTAAGACATGAAGTGATGAGTTCTGTGGATATGTTTTTAATATATTGTATAATATATTTAAGTTTGAAAGTATTTTTAGCAAGGGCAAGCATTTTTAGTAATGACAGTCTGCTTGTAAAATTATTGAAAATTTAACATTTGACTTTCATTTCCTTGGCTTTCCTGGAGGATTGCATTGTGAAAGATCATAAAAATTATCATACAGATGTTGAGGGCAGTAGGTGGAGCTCAAGTGGTGGAATACTGCCTAGCAAGATAGAGGCCTGGAGTTCAGTCTGTAGAGTTCAATCCCTAGTACCAGGGAAGGGTGGGCAGAGAGGACTGAGTTTTCTTTGAAAGCTGGGAGTGGTGGCACAAAGTAATCCCAGCAACTTGGAAGACTGAGGCAGGAGAATTACAAGTTCAAGACAAGCCTGGATAACATAACAAGATTCAAGATTGAGTTTCAAAAACAAAATAAAACAAGGCTTTCTCTACTGTGTTACT